ACGGGCATGACGAGTACTGTGTCACGGAGGCCGCCTATCTCCGCAAAGCCGAAGCGCTCACAAAGAGCTGCTTTGAAGACAAAAAGAAGGTCCCTTGCTATGGGCGTTACCAAGAAAGGTACAGAGAATGAGAAAGGATTAGATGCAGTCCGGAACACAGAGATGCAAGAACACGCCGCGGTAACTGTGAATTTAATTTCAACAAGAGCGGTAAACAGTGATGAAGAAATGGAAGAAATCGGCGAGGACCCAGAGGGGGAAGAACGGGAAGCCGCCGGTGGAGATGACGACGAAAACGAGGATCAGGACCACAGCGATGTTGAATCGTTTGATTTCTTCACAGAATCGTCCAGCGAGGTGTCAGAAGAGGCAGTTCTGTTACCGAACATTTTAATCCCTTGTACAAGGTGTCATGATGTTATTAACATATGTCGCCTGCCATGTCACCGGAATTTGCACTGCGCGTTACAAACACTCAAGTACGCACAGGATCAGAGGCCAAAAAACATCAGCGCTTTGGTCAGGCGAAGGAAACTATTGATAAAACAGCAACAAGATGCCAGTTCAAAAAGACGACAAGATCCCTTTGGTGACAAGCATTTGCATAAATTAAACACGGCGTTTGAGTTCCTAAGAACAGAACTTCAAGGAACCACAGATTTGCGATATCTTAGTGAAAGGGTAATTGAAGGTTGGTGCAATTCAGTAACAGCTAGAGATACTTTGACATAAAATATCTATGCAAGGAAACCAACATCTCAAATCGTATGTTTTATCATCCGTAAACTTCGGGAGTCGTAATTTATCTCGTGATGATTATTACACGCTGTGAGAAAAAGTGAAACAAAGGAAAATCAGACAAGCGTCTTAAATGTTATCTTTTCCTAAAATTGTTAACTAATTTGTAAAGTAAATTGATTCTAAATTTTAAGTTAAATCTTCAGATTTCTTAGTTTATACGTACAATACACTGAATTTAGTTTAAACCATGACATTATGTTTGCGTAATTAAGATGATAAAACAAACTGCTCTTTTGACCTTAGCATGATTTTATTTAGGTAAAAAATTTAGAAAATTCTACCATGCCGAGGTTAAACGTGTTAATGACAGATTACGTGTTTACGAGGGAATCAAAACAAAACCAAACACTGTCAATTCTTTCATTAGCACCTTCTTAGGTTTGATTGATGCAAAAGATTGGCAAGAACTTGACATAAGATAGTTGTATAGACATTTGCCTGTTTGCTCTCTCTATTCTCGTTTGAGTTCATTTGCATTTCAATGCCTTGAGTGTAACTGAAGTATTGGCCATTGTTTTTTGAATTTGCAGAAATAAAAGTAACTGGCGAGAGCTTCGATTTGTCTTGCTCAATTGCAGCTGGAGTTTGCGAGGAAGCAAATAAAAGGTGGAAATACATGGAGGATGTGCACATCTATAAAGACAACTTTTTGAACAACATAAATAGCG